AAAATATAATTGAGTATACTAACTATTAACAAATAAGCACGAAAATAAAATATGTTCACCAACATCACGTTCCAAATAACTGGCTACCTAATTACACGCAATAAAACACAACAATTCGTAGCAATGCGCTATTTATTTGAATAGAAAACATTCTCCCATGACCTTCCAACTCCTGACATTAGTATAAAGTACAAATCTTAAGCTTTTACGTTCGTAACGGAAATCACGCCCACGAAATATTATTTCGTACGTTTCCAACAATAAATAGGTACGAATCTCGAAGAAATAAACCATTTCTCATGAGTACGAGATCGAAATTACTACTTAGAGTCTTATTACTACGCATTTTTTCAAGAAACGCCCCATAATGAATGTCAATTAGCAGTAATTACCGCTCTGAAGCACAAGTGGGCCTAATGAGCTGGGCTTCAAGAACGAAAATAAAACAAAAACGCCGCAATAAAAGGCTCTATATTGAGTATAATCATACGTTTCAATGTAATAATGTGATTCAATGAAACGTTGCGCTGACTTGCTTTGATTATGTATCTTTAGCAAGCAATTTTCTTGATAATAATCCTACATTGTTCAATGATTTAAACTCGCAACTCCATCTAGTATTCAGTAGAATAACATCTAAAATATATATGTTGGTAGTGACATCTAGCGGTGAGTAGCAGTAATACGACACAACTTGTAGCTAAGTTGTCTTGTTAGTGTATGTCTAATAACATAGGTGGCGCTGTTTAAGAATTTGAAAAGGCAAATTCATGACAAGTCTTGATAAAACAAAAGTGTACGTATTTCTCAGTATTTTATTTAATGTCAATTAGTAGCTATAACATTCCGTTCTTATTTTAATTCAAATACAGTAAAAGACATTCATAGGTAAGATTTATCATAGCTACTTAATTCTTAAAAATAATTATCCAATTAAAGGTAGTTAAGCGCCTGCGATACTACGATAATCAATACATAGTATAAAACAAAGTCGCTTTCGCTGTATGTCCGTATGTATTCTTAGATCTTTAAAACTACGCAACGGATTTTGATGCGGTTTTTTTTAATAGATTGAGTGATTCTTAAGGAAGGTTTCTATGTATATACATATTGCACCCGTGCGAAGCCGGGGCGGGTCGCTAGTGATATTATAATTAAAACAATATCACTAATTATTATAATACCGACATCAACAGTATTTATTTACCTACTAGGTACTTAGGTACCTACACAGGCAAATGACTTCGAAAATTACTACCTACGTAACATATAGAAATAATAAAGCTATTGCATATTCCCAATGAAACAATCGCAATGTGTAATTGTATACATTTAAAATGAAAATACTAGACATCTTCTATTTGTACAACACGACACCACAGGAATAGCATCATCAAAGACTAAAATTAAATAGAAGCGACAGTTTTCAAGCGTGTGTCACGACTCACGACGTCAGAGTAAAATATACATTTCGCACCTTAAAGTCAGAGTCAAAGTCAAAATCATTTATTTCAGTTAGACCAGGGGCTTACTCTTGAATCCAATTCCGATCGATCGATATTGGTATTGCGAAATTTCGTACTCTCGAGTTGCACCACTAGCGCCCATTACATCCGTATCCCATTAGATCCGTATATTTAATGAAGTAAATGGTATTGAGTTTGGCTTTATATTCCGTACTCTGAATGCTATTTTAATAGGTACGATTGGGGTTGTATACTTTTGACATTAATTATTGAGATTTTATTGGATTCAAATTCCATTGACATTGAGATTGGTTTCAAGAGTAAGACACTTCTGAACATCAACAAAAAAATGAAAAGTCAGCTATTTGCTCATTCCAAGGTGTAGATTCCTATGGGGAAGAACAAGCAAGAAACTCCATAGGTTACTATTTACCGACTTCAAAAAAAGGAGGAGGTAGTTATGTTCGGCTAATAGTTTTTTTTTTTTTGTTTGTTCGCGCAGTACTCCGCCATTTGTGGACCGATTTCCAAAATTCTTGTTTTATTTGAAAGTTGAAAGGGTATACTCCCGAGATGGTCCCATTTCCATGAAGTCAGGATCTGATGATGGGATCCTAGGGTAACCGAGGGGAACTTTCGAAAATTCTATGGACGAGTAATGCGTCTATTATGTTTTACAATTACGATTGTTAAACTCTACAATTTGATAAGGGTTTGGAGTCGATCTGATGATGGAGCCGATAGACAGTCGAGGGAACTCCTCAGCAGTATATATTAACTACCTTGTGTTTGGGCTTGATTAATTTGCATTGATGAGGACTTTACACCTAGATAGAGTGGAGCTGTCATTAAGGGTCTGATGATGAAGAAGTGTAATTGTTAAGGGAACTCCTCAACGGCATACAGTAACTACCTTGTGTTTGGGCTTGTATAATTTGTATTGATTAGAACTTTGCACCTATGTAGATTATAAATAACAAAACGAGTATATGTAGGTTTACACTGAAAATGATAAAATAATAATATAAAAACTGCGTTTAAAAAACCGACTTCAAAAACCAAAAACTAATAACAAACAAAAAGTCAAAACTAAAAAGCAAAAAATAACTATTATTAGTACTGATAGGTTACCCACCCACTGATAGGTTAGAAGTCGGTGCCATAAGCTCATATCATAATGATATAACTTAATGCCCACAAAATTGTGAATTAGGTACCTATTAAGGTTTTAATGAATAATTTTGTATGGAACTAATGGCACCGACTTCTAACCTATCAGTGGGTGGGTAACCTATCACTAGTTCACTACTAATAATAATAGTTATTTTTTGCGTTTTTGTTTTGACTTTTTGTTTGTTATTAGTTTTTGGTTTTTGAAGTCGGTTTTTTAAACGCAGTTTTTATTTTATTATTTTCAATCAGGTTTACAATACAATTCTCTAGTTACATGGTTTTGTGGTTTGGATTGTGCGAGTCGAAAACAATAAAATCCATGCAAAGAGATCAAAAAAAAAAAATAACCTTAAAAAGTAAAACTGGTTTAAACATGTTTTTTTTATGAATTGAGAAATATGAATATACCTATTTACATGTATTGACTATTTAAACATCCTAGAAATAATTAGATGGCATCAGCTCAGTCTCAGTAGGATAGTAGACCGCGTTTGAAAATTGAAAATGTAATTAGTCCGTCAGTTAGATAGTAAAAAAATAATAGAAACATACTTTTTTATTTGTCGTATTTTTAAGGGGGGAAAATCATCGAATGACTGCTCCCGCCTGGGTGAGGCGGGAGGGAGTGTCAGACTCTTACTGACTAAAAACCACCCCGTTCCTTCTCCTGCACGTCGAGCTGGAGCCCCGGTTACCCGTTAGGTTCTCCGCGACTCCGAATCGGCATCGGCCCTATTGGGCCCCATCTGTGGTGGTCTGATGGCTCTTTGAGGCGCGCGCGGAACACGACGCGCCGCACGCTCGGGTCTGTTTCTGGTCGGACGGGGAGCCACCCATGCTCGCCGTCCGCAGGCCCGCGCTTACGGTGGCCGGAGATCGTCCCGCGATCCCCGACGCCCGGTGTGTCCTTCGCGATGGCTGGGTTGCGAGGAGGCAGCGCTTCGCTGCCTCACGCGTCCCGCCTCCTCCTTAGCTAGCATGACTGCTTCACAAAAGGAGGAGACGGCATCCCAGTCCCCCTCGCTCCGCATCATGGCCTGCACTAGGCCCGGACGCGAGAGGTCGCCATCGCCGATCACTTCCCTGAGGACACGGCGGTGCTCAGCCCACGCAGGGCATTCCGCTACAGTTATTTTGTCGTATAAGAAAACAATACTTAGATAAAACGGAGTTAAGTTTAGGAGTGGGAGGTCGTTACGTCACGCTCCCCTATAAAATGTAGTAAATCGTGACGTCACGCGATATTTCAAATCAATATATCGTCGAAAGTATTTAATTGTGTAAGAAAAGAAAAAGTACGTGATTAATGTTTTAAAATAATCTACCAGACGAGGCCAACGAGGCAGTCGGTAGCCGAGTGGTCACAAGTGCGACTTCTGGGCAAGGGGGCTCGGGTTTCGATTCCCGGGTCGTGCAAAGTACCCACAACTGTTTTTTTTTTAATTCTCAGTATTACCACGGAGTCTAGAATTGTGCCAGTATATAGCAATATGCTCACCCCCTATTACATGGGACTCATGACATAAATTGTCAACGCAGTGGCAGTTTATTGATGATCCATCCATCTTGAAGTAATCAGCTGAACGGAAGACAACAAATTTTTCAAAGGTATTTTGAACTGCCTCTCGGGTTTTGAATTTAATCCCGCCAAGAAAGAAAATCCCAATTCTAGAAAAAGTACGTAGTAGTCTGTACGCGAACCTTGCGTTGTGTTTCTTCGTGTGAGTCAAGTATCCAAAAACAAACACAACATTAAGAGACATTGGGATTCATAATAGGCAGCTACAACAAAGTATAAAACAAATACTTTGCTCTTTCCTCAATAAAAGACATCGGCAACGTACTTATAACCCTTCTAGTGTTGTGTATCACCAGGGTTAGCGATGATCGCTTACCATCAGGTGATCCGTCTGCTCATTGCCCCTTATCCTATGAAAAACATACACTTATCAAATGCAACGTAGAAAAAATAGTATTCTCCGTGTTATTCTCCAAAAGTCTTTGAAAGGAACTGAAAATAATAATATTTCACCCACTTTCCGCAAATTTTGCAATAGGTAAACCTAAAACATAGTATTTGCAAGTCACAACTTATCTTACAGGAAACAAAAGCTAATAAAACAACATGACTATTAAGAATTAAGCCAATATTCATTCATAAATTCGACTTTGGCATTGCAATCATTGCTTAAAAAGTGCTCATTCACGCTTCAATCTCTCGAGACGGCATTTTTTTATCGACAAAACACCCCGATATGTGACGCTAAACAATTTTCCCGAATCACAAATCTAAGATAAAACTACAAATGAGATTGCATATCTGCCTTATGTGTAATCTATGGTCGAATGTTTATAATCTGTGGCGCGCTACCGGCATTCTAGTCAGTGTGTTCAGAATCGTCACGGACCGGACTTGTTGCTTCAAAGATGGCGCGCGTAAGTTGATTTTTGTTTATTTATTTAAAAAAGTTCCATTTTCAACCCTGTTTATAGGCTAATATTCTTTGTTTTGGAGTATTTTTCTATGACATGGAATAAGTAATTTATAAGATTAGTTTAAAGTAAGATTGTTATGTGTTAAAATAATTTGCAATTCAAGACCAGTTCCCGAGATTATCTATTCCAAACAAATTACCTATGGCCTCTATGTAGTAGATAGTAATGAAGCAATTACGTAAATAAGATAAATATTTTTACTTACTAAGATATCGTTTTGTTTATGAGTTCGGAAGTTACCTAATTATTACGATTTTTAACAACAATAGGTAGGTATATTTAATCTTCCATTAAGTACTTATTCTATATGTATACTGTAATTCATGCATGCATATCGTGAAGCAAAAACATACATTTATATAATATGTACGACAGTTGCAATGGGCTCCGGCTCAACGTGCAGGAGAAGGAACGGGGTGGTTTTTAGTCAGTAAGAGTCTGACACTCACTCCCGACTCACACAGGCGGGAGCAGTCATTCGATGATTTTCCCCCTCAAAAAAAATGCTAGTACCTAATGGAAAAAAAAAGAAAATGAGTGCGCAAAAAGAAACCTTATTTACTTAGTAAATAAAACAATATTGACAATGACAATGATTCTTTGTTTGAACAGCAAAATCTTTGATTATCTACCAAATATTAGTAGTACCTAAGTAGACGTTAAAAAATTGTTTATCCGATTCTTCAGTACGTTTACTTATGACAGATTTTTATGCGAATTTGCGAAATCCATGGATAAACTGATTTTAATGAAACTTTGTAAACTTGTACAGCAGTGGCCTATAAGTGGCCACTGTTGACCAAAGGCTTCTTCTCATACGGAGAAGGTTTGAGCATGATCCACCACGATTACTCAATGCGGGGGCGATTTCAAAGTTATAATTAGAAATTATTAGCCCAGCTCCTCACGATGTTTTCCTTCACCGTTTGTCAGTGGTGTCTAAATAATCTTAGAAAGTACATATAACTCGGAAAAAGTCACATTGGTACTTGCCGTTGGTAGGTTTCGAAGCCGCACCCTCATGCATGAAGCGGGCCTCTTAAACCTCCGGGCCACCACGACTTTGTAAACTTGTACAATTGGTAGCAATATCAAGGTTTAAAAAGAGTCATGTAGGTACTGATCTTACATAACAATCATAACATAACATCACGCCATGTGTGAGACCGTGCAAATTCATTTTGTAGTGGACTTTTGAGGAAAGAACCACAACAGTTTCAGTGGACCCGTTCTGACGGCAGTACGCATGTGTCGGTTTACAATCAGCTCAATTAACAGAACTGATCCGACGAACAATACCAACCTAAAGAACATTTGGGTGGGTTTTTATTCGAGGGGCGAAAATCATCCAATGACTTCTCCCGCCTTGGGTTAGCAAGAGTGTCAGACTCTTACTGACTAAAAACCACCTCGTTCCTACTCGTGCTCTTCGAGCCGGAGCCCCGGCAACGCGTTAGGCCTTCCGCGGTTCCGTATCGGTCATCAGCCCTACTGGGCCCCATCTATGGTGGTCTGATGGCTCTTTGAGGCGAGCGCGGAACGCGACGTACCGTACGCACGGGTCTGGTTCTGGTCGGGCGGCGAGCTACCCTTGCTCACCGTCCGCAGAACATTTAGGTGGGTCGCACAAATACTCAAACTGTCAGAACATGGGTAAATAGATGATTCGGTCTGCCTGTCCCTAAAAACAAAACAATCGTAATATTATATCATAACTATTATTTAATGGATATTAAACATAAGAAACATAATATCAGCATCGACTATTGTGATATTTATGCTAATCTAATCAGTTTTATCAACAAATATCGCATGAGGAAATAAACAAAAATCGAGTTACAATTATGCAAGCGATCCATGTTTTATGCTATAGGTACAATAAATCAGTGTATTACCAGCAGCTATAGCCAAATGCCATTTAGCGCTTGTCTACATGTAGAATAGAAAACCAAATTATATGGAATTGACGTAAATTTTAACATACTACATAGTGGGACTCATAACATAAATAGTGAAAAGTTGGTGTTACATTGTACAGCGGCATAATGTATACCTCTGCCTACCCCTTCGGGGATAAAAGGCGTGATATTATGTTATGTAGTCTGCATGTGTGTCGTGCTCGTGGCGTAATGAACGGGTTTTCTTTCTTGCTTCTCTCTTTAATGATATCTATTAAAGGACATAGAGTAATGTTGTTCACTAATAGACAGACGGTCAATTCAATTTTTGACGTTTCAAAAGTAATTAAACCTAATTAAGGATAAATTAAAATGCTTTGACTTTGACTTTGTTATAAAACATTACCTGTTTAGAAATATCACGTAGATAGATAATTATTATCGGAATAATTTCAGATAAAAATCCGTTCTAGCTCCGACTGTGAGATTACTACAAACATATAATATTTGTACAGGATATTAAGATAAAATGTCAATACATCAAGATTATTACTGTACAAGTATTTGCAAATCATTGCTAGCGTCAATTGACGTGTAAAAACCGTAGATAATGCAGTCAACGTCAACTTCTCTAAGTTAATATAAACATCACGCCCTTTATCCCCGAAAGGGTAGGCAGAGGTGCACATTACGGCACTTAATGCCACTGTACAATGTAACACCCACTTTTCTCTATCTATTTATCGCGAGTCCCGTGTAATTAGGGGGTTCTACTAAGTTCTTAGTCAGTAGTAGTGGTGTTTAGTGTGGTGTTGCTTGAATGGGTGGCGCTAATTGCTTACCTTGAGGTGATACGTCTGCTCGTTTACCGGCTCATTCCATAAAACATGAATAACGGTATATTACTGATGTATTTACATTGAATTTCTATAATATGACTACTTCTAATCATAATAAACAGTTGTAAAGTTATGCAAACAAAACTAGAATGCCTATAATTTGGTTTAATTTAGCTGAGAGCTCAACCATTGTGACTTTTATTATTTTATACAATTGCATATTATGATGTCACTCAGGCTATTTACCTATTCATCAAAGGATTAGTTAATTAAAAGTGCATAAATGAAAATAAAATTTCTTTCAAAAATTGCCTTACCTTACTCCTTACCTAATGGGACAAATGCGCCTCACCCTCCCAAAACCGCTGTACCAGGATCTTCAGGATCTACATCTAGATACAACTATGAAAACAAAATCAGTCGCGGGAACAAACCGTGAATGCGGTCACTTGTATCGTTTCCTAGTTCAACTAAGTGATGCGGTTGAAAACCGCCGCGGATTCACAGTAGTTCGGTTGTGGCCTAAACTACTACTGCATTATTCGTGTTCGTACTATTAAGTGATGATACTATTATCCTTCTTTCTTTAACAATTAATAATAATAAATTAACATAATAATTAATCGAGCTATCATCACTGACATAATTATTTGCTAACAAACCTTGACTTTGTGATGATAGATCGATCAAACCTTCGCCTACACTTCAAAGTCGAAGTCAAACAGCATTAATATCAATTATATAAGGGTTTAAAATATGGGGTCTTATTAGGTGACTGTACCTTATATATCTATTATATTTATTTTTCTCCTAACGAAATGCCACTTAAAGCTATTTTAAACACCGTGAAATCGATTTCGTTTTCGTCACTCGACAAAACAACTTGCCATAAGGGTGTTCAAGTTGCCATTTCAAGCGTGGGAGAGCCATGCTTCGGTACGCATGGGCCGGCTTGACCGGAGTGATACCACGGCCGAGCAGAAAACCGACGTGAAACAACGCCTGCGTTGTGTTTCGTCGTGTGAGTGAGACCCCCCCCCCCTCCC